ATAATATAGTTCATAGGTACTTATCTCAATCCAATCGTCTAGTCTTTGCTTGAATCTTTAGTTGATTCATGTTCAAAATTTGTCTAAAGTGTAGTCACCCGTCAGAACATTGTATTAATCTGTACCTTTCATTCACTAGAAATTTTATGAAATACTGTAGTAGACTGAGTTCATTGGTGAAATCGGATATTTCATTGTAGTTTTCATCGTTTAGTTCATCAGTAATGACAGATGTTGTCCTGTCACAAAATGATATGTTGCCAGTTTTCCTAGTTTTATGTCAAGGGAAAATATGAAAATGCTATTGAGATCTGTTTTATTTAATATTATGTTGTTTTGAGCTATTGTTTTATCAGTATTTACTTGTTTTCAGTTATTTCATGTTCAGTTCTAAAATTAGCTCACTATTCAATAGTTATATGTTTGGATAAGAGGATTAGTATTTTATTAAGTATCACAATGATCACTGTTCTGTCGTGCAATACTTTGAAATTGTCTTGTTTGTTAAATTCAGTGCATTGCTATGACAATCTATTGTACTTTTACTAGTTGTGTTATTTTCATTATTTTAATTATTTTATTGTAAATTATTTGTTACTGATTTGCTATTTGTTATTTATTTCTTATAGCTTGCAACCACCCTTTTCTGTTTTTGTACTTTCTGTATAAATAAATTTATTTGTGGTTATAAGTCTGTCTTGTTGTTCAAATCACAACATCAGAACCTGCCTCAATCACATTTGGCGCTGCAAGCAGGGTACAAAAAATCAGAAACCAATTTTAAAAAAATCAGCTTTATAAAAGGGTGGTTGCAATACCAGCACTAGCATCAAATCATCATGTCTGCAGAGGAGTTAAAGAAACACCTTGACGAATTGACCAAGAAGTACGAAGAGACTATGACCAACTCAAGGCTCTCAAAGAATCTGCCACAGCATCATCATTGTAACCATTGACACCTACCACGGTTGGACAGAAGCAGATTGTTGTCTTTCCTCGAGATAAAAAGTTTCACTGGAAGGAAGACAGAAGATGACCAGCCAGTTGAAGACTTTATTGAAGAAGTGAAAATTACCTTTGAGGCGAGAGAAATGGCTTCAGCCGCGAGAGTGGATTTCGTAACTTCTCATCTGGAAGGGCCAGAGGTGCGAATGTACAGCAAGAAGGATAGAAGTAACCCAGACTTTCTCCAGGATGTTCTTACACAGGCATTTGGGAAGAAACGTTCAAGCTCTCAACTCATAAAGCTCTTCGAGCAGAAGGAGCGTGAAAAACTTCGAGCGTACTCGCATTCCTTAAACGAACTACTCAAGAATGCTACAAAGGCAGATCCAAAGGTAGTCCCTGACCTAGAGAAGACTCTGCGAGACCAATTTGAAGACAATGTGAAGGATCCCTTCCTTCGAAAAGAACTGAAGAGGTTCATCAGGGAGTGTAACCCTTCATTCTTGGATTTGAGGGAGGGGGCACTATGCTAGTCAGACGAGGAGGAGAGACCACAGCAAATCATGCCTAGACCCCTGCTATCTCAAGAAATATCGGTTGCCACACCTGAAAGCTCTCAGTGCCACGCTAGTTCCACCACCACCCCTACGGATAAGGTTTTGGATGTCCTTCTATAGTAACAAGAAGCCTTAGAAGAACTGACGAGTTCAGTTAGAGAATTTAAACAGCCAAGGACCCAACACTCAGCCAAGGAATGGAGTGGACAGGGTTCTAATACTGTTTGCTTCAAATGCAACAAGAATGAACACATTGCCAGGAACTGAGAGGCTAAGGACAACCCAGCCGTCAGGAGAGGTCCACCACAAGGTAAAGCGCACCCTGACAAGTCCTTAAACTAACTCCCCCTGTCATAAGGAGCCAACTGACAGGAGGGGACAGCAATGGCTTAAATATGGATAAGTCAACAGTATACAAAAAAGCAGCTGGAAAGTGCCCAGTGGTCACAGTACGATTGGGTGGAGCAGACGTTCCTTGCCTTTTAGACTCCTGATCTGAAGTATCCACAATTACAGAAGAATTTTTCAAGGACCACTCTCGCCCCCTAGGAAAAACTCTTTTACCTACTGGCGATTGGTTCAGATTAACTGCAGCAAATGGATTAGCAATACCGTACGTTGGATACCTAGAACTGGACGTTGAAGCCTTGGGAGTCATGATCCCACGAAGAGGAATTTTAGTTGTAAAAAGTCCAGCAAGTCAAGAGGCCAGGCAACGCAAGAAGATTATCCCTGGACTAATAGGGATGAACATAACTGCCCAACTGCACGAACCTTTTAAGAATGGAAAAGCAGAAATTTCCCCTCAATGGAGCAAAGTATTGGAGATTACATGTGGTACCAAGTCCATCTCAGTCCGTGGTTTTGCAAAAGTAGCTCACAAGTCCCTGATTAGAGTCCTAGCTGGATTAGTTTCTGATGTTAGAATCAACGGATGGTAGGGACCCCAAACAAGAAACACTGCTGTCCTTGTGGAACCACTGAATGGACAAGTGCTAGGAAACCTTGTTGTCATCAATACTCTCACTCACGTAAATAATGAACAGTTTCATGTAAGAGTCGCTAATATTACTGACGAAGAAGTCTGGCTTCAACCCCTCACACCGATAGGAGTACTCCACGAGATTAAAGATGTTCAGGATAATAAAAACAAACATCGACTTCAAAAGAGTATCAATCAATGAAGAGATTGTGTTTGTCAGAGAATCCACTACAGAAAAAAAGCAAGAACAGCCCTCTGTGTGTCCAATTGATTTGTGAAATGTAAAATGTACTCCTGAACAAAAGAACAAGCTTCAGAGCCTGTTTCAGAAGCATACAAGTGTCTTCACAAAGGATGGTGTTGAAAACTGGACCGAGAGTGTCACGTGGATTTTTGTATGTTTCTTACCCCCCACGAATTGAACTTTGAACTCTTGATGAAAACTCTAAAAAAGAAAAATGAAAAGGAATGCGTGAAAGCTGTCTTGTATATTGTTATTCTGGAATACAGTCTTTATTCGGAGTTGTCCTGTTGTATACGTTTTATACAGATGGAAATGACCTTGGATATACAGAGACAGTCAAACACAAGATCCCAACCATAGATCAAGTGCCAGTCGCAGTCTCACCGGAAAATCCACCAAACCAGTTTCAAGAGGCAAAGGATCACGTACAAAAGCTTCTGGATAATGGTATCATTCAAGAAAGTCACAGTCCTTATTGTGCTAGTTAGAAAAAAAGGTGGTTCTTTGAGGCTATGCATTGATTACAGACGTCTCAATGCCAAGACAATCAGATATCAGTTCCCGTTACCAAGAATCAAAGAGTCCATTGATGCCATCGGTAATGCAAAATTGTTTCCAATTATAGATCTAGCAAGTGGGTTCAATCAAGTTGCTATGGATGAAGAGGACCAACACCATTCGGAATTTTTGAATACAACAGAATGTCCATGGGAATGACCAATAGCCCTGCGACCTTCCAAAGGCTTAGGCAGACTTGTTTGAACGATTACACATTTCAAATACTGCTCGTGTACTTAAATGACATCATTGTTTACTCTGATACCTTCGATGAGCACATTGAGAAACTTGACTAAGTCTTCACAAGCCTCCGAGAACATAGCCTAAAGCACAAACCAGAGAAGTGTAAATTCCTTCAGTTCAAAGTCTCTTATGTTGGTCACTAGATCTCATCTAGTGGTATTACAACAGACCCTGACAAGAACCAAGCTGTATCAGCGTGGAAACCACCAATGACTGTCAGAGAACTTGGATAATTTTTAGGATTCTGCAGCTATTATCAAAGATTTGTCAAAGACTCTGCAAACATTGCTGGACCACTATACCAGTTAGTGAACAACTGTTTGCACGAGCTGAAAGTAGAGAAGAAATTGAATGTCTCATTCATGAAGCGTAGGAACTCAGAATGTCAAACTGCATTTAATGCGTTGAACACTAACAACAAACCAATTATTGTGGAAACAGATGCCAGTCATGTTGGACTTGGAGCAGTCCTGTCCCAAGACCAGGATGGTCAGCGCAAAGTCATGGCCTACGCAAGTAGAAGACTGAGGCCAAGTGAGAAGAACCCAAGAAATTGCAGCTCCATGAAGCTTGAATTGTTAGTCCTAAAAAAGGGCAGTAACTGAGAAATTCTGGACCTACCTACTTGGTCAAAATTTGAAGTCTTCACTAGCAACAACCCCTTGAAGTGCTTGCAAACAACTGCCAAGCTCGGTGCTTTAGAACAACGATGGGCAGCTCACCTTGCTTTATTTGACTTCACTATCAATTACAGGAGTGGAAGATCAAATGCAAACGCTGACGCTTTATCACGTCAACCTCGTGGACCAATGCCAGATGAAACAGAAGAATCAAAGGAAGATGAGCTATCACATGTAGAGTCCATAGTTACCATGGCAACCCCTGTACCACCTGACCCGAGTCATGCAATTGTAACAACACCTATCCCAATAGAAGTGAGACGAATGGCCATACATGAACCAGACCATAATTTATCCACAACCAACCCATCATCAGATGAGGATAAAAAGCTACCTAAAGATGATACAGTGATTGCTACAACATCGTTTCCCACTCACACGAAAGAAGAACTTAGCTACATGCAAAAGGCAGACCCTGCAATTAAGGAATTTTGAAGTTTTGGGAGAAAGGCATGAAACCTACCCTTGGGGAGAGAAAAAAACTTTCTCACCAGTGTGTCTCCCTGTTACGACAGTGGGACTGATGTACAGAATTGTACAGGATCCCAAACTTGGAGAACTGACACAACTTCTGTTACCAGCAACTCTGAGAGAAAAAGTCATTACCAGCCTGCATGATGATACAGGACATCAGGGATTAGAGAGAAGCCTTCAAATGATTCGAGAACGATGCTATTGGCCCAAGATGTACTCAGACATAGAGAATTAGATCAAGAAATGTGAACGATTTACTCTCGCAAAGATGCCAAACCCCAGAGTCCGACCACCCATGGGAAGCCTGTTGGCAACCAAGCCACTTGAAATCTTAGCAATAGACTTTACAGTCCTTGAACCAGCAACGGATAGAAGGGAGAATGTCCTTCTTATGACTGATGTCTTCCCCAAGTTTACATATGCAATTCCAACAAGAGACCAGAAAGCCACTACAACAGCTAAAGTCCTTGTAAAAGAATGGTTTTTCAAATATGGAATTCCCCTCAGAATCCACTCAGACTAAGAAAGAAACTTTGAAAGTGAAGTTATCGCTAAACTTTGCAGACTTTATGGAATCAAGAAGACACAAACTACACCGTATCACCCACAAGAAAATGCAAAATGCGAGAGGTTCAACAGAACAATGCATGATCTGCTTAGAACTCTCTCACAATCAAAGAAGCACAAATGGCCAGAACACCTACCAGAGTTGTTGTATGTTTACAATGCTACACTTCATTGATCTACAACATACAGTCCTCATTTTGTTATGTTTGGACAGGGAGCTCGACTTCCAATTGATTTACTCCTACGCGGAGATGAAGAAGTTGATGAAAACCAGTCTGATTGGCTAGCAGAACACCAGGCAAGGTTGACAGATGCGTACCAAAGAGCAGAGGAGCACCTCAAGCAACAGGCTGAGAAGCGACAAGACCAACACTTTGAGAGAGAGTACAACATCCCAATTCAGAAAGGTCAACTAGTGTATCTAAGAAATCATGTACGTGGGCGTAACAAGATTCAAGATGCTTGGGATTCTATCCTGTACAAAGTTGTCGATGTCCCACGAGACAACTTTGTATCATTTTTCACAGTGGAACCTGTGGATTGTCCAGGTGAAATTAAGAAGGTGCATCGAGGTAACCTGAGGATAAGTAGTCAGTCCAAACAAGGAACAGAAAGGCCAGACCCAAACCTGTCAAACGTACATCAACTGATTCCAATATTGCAACTGACCAAGAAGACGGTGCAGACTAAGAGGTTTGTGTTAATTCTCCCGACCCGACTTTATAAACTGTAAATGTTAAGTCACTCAACACAACGACAACAAAATCACAACTCACAACAATCCAGGCATTACAAGGACATATCTGGAGTAACAAAAATGAGTTGCAAACTACTATGCTTGCTTACTAAAGAAAAACCTTGAGGGAGAAAAGCACTGAGAAAGGTTACTGACTTAAAGAAAAAAAAAAAAAAACAATGATAGATAAGCACGAGACGACAGCAAAGTCTTTCAAGTATGATTTCCCACAGGAAATTCGCTCCTGAACATTACTTCGTCCATATTATTGTGGAAACGATAATTTTTGGTGAATCGTGAGAGCATTAATTTGCTGGTACTCTACAAATCGCAGCAACGACTGCGAATGACAATGTGAGCGCTGCGATTTAAATACGCCCTTAATCTTGCTTCCGTTTCCTAAACTTGACTTGCATGTCCATAACTGTTTCTGGGAAGTATGTCAGATGTTTCAGAGGTCACTTCTAATTCTCAAGTGCCAATGGAAGCGCCGTAAGTCTCCATTATATTTTAGTACATACCATAGTTGTAGTTGTTGTAGACAACCAAGTCTATCCCAAAAGCGATTCACAACTGAAATGCAATTTTTGCTAACAGTGACCTCGAGACAAACACCTCTTCATCAGGAAACTTTGATGCAGGAAAGCGCCTGAGGAGTGCTGTGTGGCATTTCTGTACAAGGTCTATCGAAGTTGTGGGAACCTCACAATGCACTATCTGGTCTGATGTTGTGAAGCATGCAAACAACACGTCAAATCTATTTAAGGTATTGTCCACTGAAGGGCTTTTTAATATTGTATTATAAATTGAAGATTATTCATATTTTCTTTTATAGCATTAGAAATTAAAACACCCGGCTCAGCACAAGGAAGCTGAAAACCAGAGAAAAGAGGAGGAAGAAAAAGCATCCAAGAGGCATAAGACCACTGACAACCTACAGCAGCATACCATATCAGAGATGGCACAAACTTGGCAAAAGTATTCGCCGACTTGCGCACGAACCAAGAACATTGATGAGGCCCTTATAAGAATGATTGCAATCAACATGCAACCAGCAACCATTGTAGAGGACACCGGATTTCAGTCGCTGGTGTGTTTGCTTGATTCTTGGTACCAGCTGTCCTCCAGAAGACACATAATGAGAAGTTTGCTACCTGATATGTACACAACCCGTGCTGGAGAGATAAAGCGGGAACTTCTGCAGATTTCTCACGTAGCTCTGACTAGTGACCTGTGGACATCAAGAACAACGGAAAGTTATCTTGCTATCACCTGCCACTTTGTTACTTCCACGTGGGAACTCAAGTTCCTGGTTCTAGCGATGTTTGGGTTAAAAAAAGACCACACGGCTGAGCACATTGCGGCGTCATTCCCAAAAGTTGTAGAAGAATGGGGAATTTCCCGAAAAGTTGTTGCGATGGTTACTGACAATGCTGCCAACATTGTTGCCGCCGTCAGACACACTGGTTGGACACATGTCCCTTGCTTTGCACACACCCTGAATCTAGTGGTTTCTGAGGCAATTAAGGCTGAAACAAAGATCCATCAGCTTAGAAAGAGCTGCAGGGACATTGTGAGCTTTTTCCACTTCAGCATTAAGGCCTCAGAAAAGCTAAAGGAGATACAACTGCAGCTGGGAATTCCCGAGAACAAACTCATCCAAGAAGTAAAAACCAGATGGAACTCAACTTACTACATGTTGGAACGCATCACGGAGCAACATCAAGCCATTACCACAGCACTTTGTTTCTCTGGTTGTAATGCAATGTGTCTTTCATCTTCTGATGTGAGCCTGCTGAAAGCTGCCATGGCCGTTTTGAAACCCTGTGAGGCAACGACCAAAAAGATTTCTGCCGACAAGCATGTCTCCATTTTTAAGGTGATACCTCTGGCGAACTCACGACAGTGTTTGACTGGTGCGATTACAGAAAAGGACACACCCCTGGGTTCCAACCTTAGTTACCAGATGAGACACCGCTTCACAAATATTGAAAGCGCTTGCATGCTGGTGATGTCGACCTTATTGGATCCCCAGATGAAGAAATTGGCGTTCAGTGACTCTCCAGCCATGAGACAGGCAGAGTAGTGGGTTGTTCAGGAGATGTCATGGCATGTCCAGACTAATGATTCCAATGAAGATAGGCAGCCCAGTAATACAACTGAAGCAGCTGGCCTGTGGGACCTCTTCGACTCAGTGGTCCAGCAGTCAACATCACAAAGAACCTCAACCAGCAATGCAACACTGGAAGCCAGAAAGTATTGTGAAGAACCAGTGCTGGCAAGACTTCAAGATCCCTCACTGTGGTGGAAGGAGAATGAGCAATACTATGAACTTATCGCAAAAATTGCGAAGAAGTATCTTTGCATCCCTGGTACATCTGTTCCCGCCAAAAGGGTGTTCTCTAAAGTAGGGGAGCTAGTCTCCATGAGGCGTAATCGGCTGAAGCCAAAGATTGTGAACATCTTCTTATTTTTAAACAAAAATATCTGAGATTTTTCTTTACCTGCTGCTATCTAAGCTCTTTTTTTTTAGCTAACTTGGCTGGCTGAAAGTAAAGTAGACGCTAGTTACCTGATATTGTTTTTTAACGATATTGATTTCACTTGAGGTCTAGTAATATGTATCAAGTCCCTATGTTCACTCGTCGAATAGTAAGTATGGCCCTTCTGTATAGTCCTGTATACCAGGGAGGCTCTGATGTATCGAGTATTAAAGCGCAAGATCCATAATAAGTCAAGTAGCCGTGTTCGGTTATTATAAGTGACCCGTGCAGTAGCTGGTAAAATTTCATTGTGCACTTGCAGATGACTTAAAGATTGTACCATTGCAGTTTCTCTTCATTTCCTCGAAAAAATTAAAAATGTCTCCCAGTAAATTGAAATTTTTGACTTGACTGTCTTGTTGATGCTACTATAGAGAACTGAACCGGAAACCGTGCGAGAGTGCCTTAATTTAGTCAATTAGATCACGTGACTTACATTTATTTCAATGACGTCAAAGTATTGGTATCGATAGCGAAGAAAAAAGGAAGTGTCGTACTCGGTATCGTATCGATTCAAAAAAGCCGTATCGGCCCATTCTTATCATTACCCGCAGCAGAGAACCCAGATTCAGAGACTTTACCTACAGCACCAAGACGAACAAGGTGGGAAACAGCTGGAAAACACAAGAATAAATTCAAACAACCAAGAACTGCACCAACAAATTCCATAGCTATTACAGTCAATGAACTTTCAGTATATCTAGTGATAACTGCCTTGTTAGTATTATATGGAATATATATTTAGGTTAATAATTTTAATGATTAACTAAGTTCACATGTTGAGGACGACAAATGTTAAGCAGGGGAGTGTGTGACCAGGCTTCCAAAATGCATGACATTTTTGCCATAATTTTAGAGTTACATCTACAGAAACTATTTACTGTTGGTAATCAAATCATCCCACACAGCATTTGCATCATAAATTTCCTGTATCTCACTCTATCACACCTAGCTTCAAAATCATAAGAATTTCCTGCTATTGTTTTATTCCTCATAAAAGAAGTACAGTTTGTTAGCTCAATTCAGTAGTTCAGAGTGTAAAGACCTGCACTTACAAGCTCAGGACCGCTTGGTCACAAAAAGTAACTCCATTGTAACCGTAAGTTGGTGACCTATTTGACTGAGGATTTATTATGTCACATTTGACCTTGTTATTATGCCTTAGAGTTTAAGTTCAAGAATAATACAGTTCATAGGTACTTATCTCAATCCAATTGTCTAGTCTTTGCTTGAATCCTTAGTTAATTCATGTTCAAAATTTGTCTAGAGTGTAGTCAGATTTCAGAACATTGTATTAATCTTTACCTTCATTCACTAGACATGTTATGCAATACTTTAGTAGAATGAGTTCATTGGTGAAATCGGATATTTCATTGTAGTTTTCATTGTTTAGTTCATGAATAATGACAGATGTTGTCCTGTCACAGAATATGTTGCCAGTTTTCCTAGTTTTATGTCAAAGGGAAAATATGAAAATGCTATTGAGATTAGTTTTGTTTAATATTATGTTGTTTTGAGCTATTGTTATATCGGTATTTACTTTTTTTCATTTATTTTATGTTCAGTTCTAAGAATAGCTCACTATTCAATAGTTATATGTTTGGATAAGAGGATTAGTATTTTATTAAGTGTCACACAATGAGCACTGTTCTGTCGTGTAATACTTTGATATTGTCTTGTTTGTTAAATTCAGTGCATTGCCATGACAATCTATTGTACTTTTACTAGTTGTTTTATTTTCATTATTTTATTGTAAATTATTTGTTAGTGATTTGCTATTTGTTATTTATTTCTTTTAGCCATCAGTCTCTCTCTTCTGTTTTAGTACTTTCCTGTATAAATAAATTCATTTGTGGCCAGAAATCTATCTCATTGTTCAAGTAACAACATCAGAACCTGCCTTGGTCACATTAGGGTAAGGGAACACCAAAGAGCTTCAAAGGATGGATGCAGCACTTGTGAACTATCTGTCTGCGTCCCTCACTTCTTTGGAAGGAGAGTACCCCGGTTGCAGTTTCAAGTTGTGCGGCGATTTCAACCGCTTAAATACTCGCCGTTTGACCACCCAATTCAAGCTGAAGCAACTCGTAGATAAGCCCACAAGGGGTGACCAAATCTTGGACTTAGTGCTTACTAACCTTCCACAGCTCTACGACTCAAACGCTGTGCAAACCTTTCCCCCCTTTGGCATGTCTGACCACAATGCTGTCTTAGTGAGACCCATAGCGAGACCCAAGGGCAACGGTTGCAGTATGAGAACCACGGCAAGGCGAGACACACGACCGAGTAGAAAGTTGGAACTCGGACGCTATCTCTCGTCGATTGACTGGTCTCCAGTTAATGGAGATGACTGCGAGGCTAGGTTAAGCATGTTCGTTGACATAATTCAGATCGGTATGGATCACATCATGCCGGTTAAGCACTTCAAGACACACGTTAATGATGCGCCATGGATCACCGCAGAGTTTAAAAACCTTATCAAGCTGCGCCAGCAAGCGCTCAACAAGGGAGATAAGGACGCCTTCAGCCGCTACCACAACATCGTCAACCGCGAGCGGAAATCACTTTGCGGCAACTACTTTGCTAGAAAAGTTGACCATCTCAAGTCCACCAAGCCCTCTCAGTGGTGGAACGCTGTCAAACGGGTCGCAGGAATGGTCCCCTGCTCCAGATCAGAGTCTTTTCTTTCCAGCTTACATTTGGATGGCGATTTGAGCGAACTTGAAATAGCCAACAAAATTAACTCAGCCTTTCTTGCTCCAATGGAAAACTTTCAGCCATTAATGCCAATCGCAGCCCACGAGGATGAACCCTATGTGTTGTTTGTATCCGAGTCTACGGTCTTGACTGCCTTGAAGCAATTAAATCCGTGTAAAGCAGCCGGACCTGACTGTGTTCCTATTTGGCTCCTGCGAGAGTATGCAGAGGTGACGTTGTACCGCTACCCAAACAGAAGCCTGTTGAAGACCTAAGTAAGCATCTGCGGCCCATTTCCCTGACCCCCACCATCTCGAAACTCGCGGAAGACTTCGTTGTAGCCACTCATGTTGGTCCCGCAGTACTCAAGAAGATCGACTATGATCAGTATGGCGGCATCCCCGAATCCTCCACCTCTTTCGCCCTGATCTCGATGTTTCACCACTGGTCACAGGCTACTGATGGGACAGGGGCAGCCGTCAGGGTCGTGCTATTTGACTATCGAAAGGCATTTGATCTCATTGATCATACGATCCTCGTTGCCAAGATCAATGGTCTTGACATGCCACGCAGCATCAAAGCTTGGGTGACCGACTTCCTGATAAACCGGCAACAACGGGTAAAACTGTCGGCAGACTGTTTCTCTGAGAGGGGCCCAGTCCCGGCCGGGGTCCCACAGGGAACCAAACTCGGACCATGGCTCTTTCTGCTCATGATAAACGATCTCAAAGTTGACGCCCCAACGTGGAAGTACGTAGATGATACTACCATCTCTCAAACCATACCCCGTGGCTCCCTGGGTGACGTACAACACGTTGTTACTGCGGTGGACACCTGGTCCCAATCCCAGCTGATGCAACTCTGACAAGTGCAAAGAGTTAATTATTGACTTTAAAGAAAATCCTCATAACTTATTTCCACTTGTAGTAGATAGCAAAGCCCTTCCTGTCATCGATTGCGCCAAAATCCTAGGTGTTACCATATCTAGTGATCTCAAATGGAACAATCACGTCGTAGATTGCATTAAGAAGGCAAACAAGCGGATATATTTCATTGCTCTCCTGAAAAGGGCTCGTGTACCTTGTAATGACATTGTTGATTTCTACTGTACAACAATCAGATCTGTTCTAGAATATTGCGCTCCCCTCTTCCATCACGCGCTTCCCGCTTACCTCAGTGAGGATATAGAGAGAATACAGAAAAGAGTTCTTTCCATAATTCTCCCAGATATGTCATATCAGGACTGCTTGGACAGACTAGGCCTGCCAACGCTAAAGAGAGAGACGCAATGAACTATGTAAACGACTCTTTGATTCAATCGCCAACAACTCGGGGCATAAACTACACAACTTACTGCCTCCAAGAAATGAACAAAGCTACTGCCTGCGACAACAGAGAACATATAATCTACCACGCTTGCGCACAGACCGCTTTAGACAGTCCTTTGTGTATGCAATGTCCAAAGATGCCTAGCAACAAACAACGCGTAGTGCTTAGCTAGTAACTATACATATTTTAATCCCATTAGATACTTATATTTTTATATCATGTACATATGTTTGTGATTAGTTTTAACATTTGCCTATTTATATATTTCTCTGTGAAATACGCAATTCAGTCTAATGACTGCGATGTATTTGTGAATAAACAGTCTATCTATCTATCTATCTATCTATCTACCATCTATCTACATTCAGAACCGGTTTTGTAAACTTGGTTTTCCTAATGGACTTCAGGCAATAGTTAGCGGTATGTTAATTTCTCGAATTGCTTGGGTCAGGTCATCGTGTACGACTTGTAGAAGTCGAGGGTGATTTTTTGGGCTGATTTTTTCTCATAAAAGGTCTACTTATACACAAGTAAATACGGATTGCTTGTAAGATCTGCTTAAAGAATAATTTTGTAATTATGTACCTTCAGCTTTTCATCGTTTGTATCTATGGCTTTGCAAAACATATTTATGAGTCTAATCTTGAGCTATACTTTTAAAGAAATTAAAAATTACTGTAGGAACAACTGTTTTCACGGTTGTTAAATTTCTCAGTTAAAAACCAAACACATGAATCATTGTTTTCTCTTTGTATTGTTGTAAATAGTAAAAGTTGAATACACAACTTTTCCGTCGGCAATTTTCATTATTAAATGTATTAGTAGAAACCCAAAGACGCAAATTGACCAAAAGTAATCAAATAGAGCTCTAAACCTGCGCATGTGAATGGATCACTGTTTAAGTTAAATATGAGCATATACCTTTACAATAACTTTAAAAAAACAATTTGTTCATTCATCTTTAGTTAAACATTAATCATTAATTATGGATTGACACAGTACCAGTTAAGCTTCATTATGAGAAACAGGAGTGACAGTTTAACAATCAGAGAGAAAAGTAAATCCAATGGAGATCCTCAGGAGACCCAAAGAGAATGGCCAAGTCCAAATGCCGTGAAAATGCTAATGGTTAAAGCACACCTCCGCCAAAGAACACGAAATGTTTATGGGTGCATTTGGATGTTCAGCCAAATCGTCCAAATCTCTTGTGCATGACAAAACCTTTTTCTAGCAGTTAGTCTAGATCATCATCATTTGGGGAATGAACACTGTCACAGTATGAGTAGTATGACAGGCCATATAGGGGCATGCACGCTCTTAGCGTTTTGCAATCACTTGTTTGCTTGAACTCATGGCAAATAAAGTAGATTTCAAGAAAACTCATACTTGTCTCCGGACTCTACTTTATGACATGGAGTCAGAAGTGGGATCCTCAGAAGATACTGGGTCCTCTAGGTGAACAATGTTGAGGACATTAGTTACTTAGAGCACTACCAGAAAGTAATTAAATCCTTACCAGATGCCAACTTCAATTGCCTGAGGCAGGGAAATAGACCACTGGTGGCGTTTGTCACCAAAGCGCAAACGTTAGTAGAAGATGGCAGATACAATCCTTCTGCTGAAGAAAATACCCTCCGAGGTACAGTGGTATTTGGCATGGTGTCTGATAAGGTACACAAAGACAAAATACCACTTGGCAATGGGCCGACCTTAGAACAAGTATATGACCCTGTAAAAGTTGATGAAAGCACCACAGCACAAATAAAGAAAATTTCGAAAGGTGATGAGAAATCTGCTTTTTACACTGTTCAATGAGAATCTGCATACTTGACCCACTAAAACAGAGCTTCCAACATCAACCTCTGCAGGGTGACCAAAATCAAAAAGGTTCAGCCAAGACTTGCCACTATGCAGGAGTGTGCATGCAGCAACATTTTCAAAAGGTTTACCACACTGTGAGTGGTCCAGAGTACCAGGGCCTAAACATCCACCAAGAAGATGACTACCCCATGAATGACAATTATGGTGTCTACACATATGATGAAGAAATAAGCAACACTGAACCCATCGCTGTATTGCTTGGATCCTTTACCTCAAACAAAGGGGCAGCAAACTCAAGAAATGCACTTTATGCCCTTAAGAGCCATCCAAACAAGATATACGCCAAGGTCATAATTAATGAAAACCACAACATCAGCTTGAAAGTAGATACTGGAGCAGATGTCTGCATAATCACCACCACAGATCTCCAGCACTTCCTTTTTCCGCTTTCCATTCTTCCATGTAGCGATGTTTTAAGAGGATATGGAGGCTCTGAGATAGAAAATGTTGGTGCACCTATCTTAAAGGTCTCCTTAAAGGACAAGTAGGACAATATCAAATTCAACATCATGGATTCCCAGGAAGCCCATCCATGCTTGGTTTCTGACATTCCCAATATCTGGGAATAACATCAGCAAATTTAGATGAGGTTAATACCATTCCCCCACCAGGAAAGTAACTGAGTGGTCAGCTAACCAAGCCCACTGTTTTGGAAGAGTACAAAGCTTTCCTCAACAAGTTAGGTTGCTTCCCAGGAGAGAGGCACCCCATTCAACCGATTTGACAACCCAGTTCCAGTCATTCACCTGCTGTGCACTGTCCCAGATGAGGTCATCACTGTCAGGAACAACCCAACCAATTGGGTGAACTCAGTTGTATGTAACATCAAAGAAACCCCAGAAGGTAAAAAGAAATCAGACTTTGCCTCAACCCAAAAGACCTCAACAAGAATATATGTCAGCAGCATTAATAAACATGTAGCATTGATGAGCTCCTGCTGCAGCTACATGGAAAGAGTTTCTTCTCTGTTGTTGACACTAAATAGGGTTATTGGCATCAAGCTTGCTACATTTGACACCCCCTTGGAACAATACCTTTTTAAACGATTACCCTTCGGGATCAAACTCTCATGAGAAATCTCTTTACCGTTTACCCAAGGTCTTTACTGAATGTCATCCATGAACATCTACCATCAGTTCATTGTCATGCTGACAACACTCAGCTTTGTGTTTCCTTCAGCCCAGTACACGAGACAGGCCAGATGCAAGCTACTACAGCTATGGAACTCTGCATCAAAGCTGTCAGAAACTGGATGCTCAGAAATAGGCTCCTCACGACAGAAGATAACACTGATTTTTTGTTGATTGGGACACATCAACAACTTGCTAAGATTAATGTTAGTCGTGTAAGAGATGGGGCTGAGAATATCTAGTCAAAATTTCTGGAAAAAATCTAGGATGTGGTTTGACTCTAATTTGTCGATACATGAGCAAATTACTAGAGTCAGCTCCACAGCATTCTACATTTGTATAATGTCAGGAGAATCCATAAATATTTGTCACAGCAATCTACAGAAACTCTTATTCATGCATTCATATCTAGCCGCCTAGATTATTGTAACAGTTTGCAATATGGCTCTTCTAGTTATCAACTTAAGAAATTACAACATGTTCAAAATGCTGCTGCAAGGGTAATTTTTAAGGAGGCAAAATATTGTCATGTCACAACATTACTTGGAGAATTTCAATGTCTCCATGCGAAATTCTGTATAGATTTTAAAATTTTACTTATTACCTTTAAAGTTATACACAGGCAAACCCCGCACTATCTTAGTGAGCTAATTACCATTAAACAGAAGGGTAAATATAGTCTTCGATCTACAAGAAGTCTGACATTAAATTATTGTTCAATAAAGTTGCTCACTATGAATGGTGACAGGTTTTTTAGTGTAGCTGCCCCAAAACTCTGGAATGATTTACCAGAGAGTATAACACCAATTTAAAAAGAAAGTAAAGACTCACTTATTTTAAGGTGTTTTTAGTGTGAAAGTTGTGATCTCATTTCAATTTTTAGATTCGATTATTAATTTATATCATTGTAATTATTAATTAATTTTTATCATATTTTAGTTTTGTATGTAGTATTTTCAACTTGTATATAGATATATAACGATACTGTAATGTGCAAATGAAAATTTTATATTGATATTTGCACGATAGAAATTTAATAAATTATTATTACTATTATTATCATTATTTTGATGCGACCTCACATTAAAGCTTCCTCACATACCAGCTTTCATGAGAAACCAAGTTCTCCAAGCAATCCACCTGAAACACCAGGGAGAGAACAAATGTATCCTCCAAGCTAGAGAATCAGTGTTCTGGTACAGTTTCTCCACTAATATTAGGCAAATGGTGAAGAACTCTGATTTGTGTAACAAGCATCAGCCATCTCAACCCAAACTATCCATCTTGCAGCCTCCAACCTGGCCATGAGCATCACACTGCACTTTAGTTCTCCATACCACCATCATACAAACAGTCTGGCAGAAAGAACAATTGAGACCTGCAAATCACTCTTGAGGAAGGCACTCGAGTAGAATGAATGTGCTCACACAGCCTTGTGGACATATGGCACAACTCCACTTGGTGACTAGATTCTATCACCCCACAAGTTATTGTTTGAACATAAACTGCCAACAACGCTTCCAAGCAGCCAAAGCACACTAACATCCTAACACCTAGATGATGACCTTTAGAAGAAGCTAACCAGAGGAGACAAAAAAGAAGTCAGCATTTTATAACAGAAAGGCCGGTAGTGATAGGAGACCCCTTAACAATGGAGACCAGTGTTTGCCAGGAATGCCTTGAATAAAACCTGACAGCCCGCAGCTGTGCTAAATAGGCAACAGCCAACAGAAGGGCCCTGAACTTAGAACATGGACATTCTAGGGAAAATCTACCAGAGAACTAGGGAACACTTGAAGCAAGAGTGAAATCACTCCCTCAGCCAGCAATACCTCTCCACCCACAGTACAGTACATTGTAGGGATAAGGACCATTGGAGCCATGAGGTGAAGGGTAAAAGAGTGCCATTGACTGACTGCCTCTGCACTGGTGGATGACATGAAAAATGCAACCTAATCATTTGACCTAATGGCAAAAATATAAATGACAAAAAATTTATCTGTCAAAAGAGGGTCACATGAATACAAAAATTATGTGTATCTTCACTTTTATGAGCCACTTGTCAGGACCTCATTACTTGAAACCTCCATATGCATGGTACTCTCGAGTCAACAGTTCCCAATTTTAATTCATTTTTTTTAACTGTTTCCTGCCAAACTGAAGGCACATCCAATAAATCACATCATTCTTCCATGCTTTCCACTAGTGTCAAAGATTTTAATTTTCAAACCATAAAATCATATATGTAAATGAGCATTGTCTTTGCTCTGCTCTAATTGGTTTATTGTAATAAAGAATAACAAATATTCTGCAAAATCTATTTCTGTAAATACCTTTATGCAAACCTTTAAGTCCATACACTTCAGTAATTTCTAATCAACTTTGAAAGTATAGCACTAAGTTGTCTTTAGTTGATATTGTTCCAGTGAATGAAAAACATTTCGATGATTCACAAGAGACATTTGATATATTAACCCAGATTATGCCAGACCTCATGCTAAACTATATCAGGTATCAGTTTTGTCAAAGGAAAATGTGAAAAGTGTGTTTACTGAATGCACAAAGGATTTTAAAGTTTTATGTCTGTCTTACAAGTGCCAATGTTAACAAGGATACCCTTCGAAAAATGAAAGTGGAATATTTCACTATATTTTTGTTTTATTTTGCATCAAATTTGTGTTTTAAAAACACTGAACTGTAGTTTTCTGTTCTGCCATTAAATCCTGAATATCCAAGCCTGTTCTTCTTGATTTCCCAAAATTCTATTTATTGCTGGTCCAGATATAATTATCTAGCAGTACAAAAGTCCCTTGAGGATGACAGTTACCATAAATATCTCTTGCATGAGTGTCAAACACTTTAAAATGGCCGTCATCAGGAAAATAAACAGTAGCAGCAGTAGTACAACCAATTGCCAAAACAAATGATCTGTGTTCAACTGGTTACAATGGCTCAAAACCTCTTTTTAAGCCTACACAGTATTTATATCCCTCAATGGTAGACTATCCATGGACATTACCACTATAGCTTGCACTGTATTACAGCTGGTAATTTTCATCTGATTCTGTGAGCATTGCATTGGTTGGTGATCCAGTTAGCAGTAAATATGATTGTCTTGTCAGTTGTGATAAACTACAGCAAAGTTGATTTAAAATATGTATAACTTGTTTTGAGTCACGAGAGTAACTTATTCCTTTCAAATTGTGATATTTTAAAATACACAACTCATTGCAACACATCTATGTCCTAGATTTAGTCCAAATACAACATCTGCTGGACAATATGGCACTTGTATTGTTTTACTAGGATCAACATAGAGCATAGAAGGACCAGGATTTTCTCTTTATCATTAGAAAGCTGGTAGTTTGCATAGTTGCTTTAATGAGTTACACTCCTATACTCACCATATGGGAAATTACAAGAAAACAATGTCAATACTTAAAGATATGCTTTTCGACGTTCATCTTTCCTCATTTATCACCTATATGAAGATACAAAATAATCCAAAAACTTTAAAACTCAATGGTTTTCAATGCAATTTTGATCTTATTGAATGCCACTTAGTTCTCATTTTATGTATGGACTTGATACTCTGAGTATTCCTCCTTGATCTAAGTGTTCATTTAATGTAGCCATACATTTTACAACCTTTCAAGTTTTTATACAAGTATTTGCTAGGATCACAATCAAATCTTTCCCTTTTGACCTCAAGGAGACAGAATTTTACCTCAAGAAACGAGCATCTCACCGTGATCTCGTCCATTTTTTCTCACACAAGGAACTGGGACCATGGCCTCCCACTTAGTTGCCAAAACAGGAGAAAAAAAATGCCTGCAGGTTAAGACTCTCTCTCCGGTTACCCTCACGTAATAACTTCTCAGGAATAAGATATAGAATAACTTCCAAAGAACAAAGTAAATTTCAGTAAATGTTGATCATCTATTCTAACAGAACCGCTCATAAAAGATCTGTAAGTCTTCAGAGTTTGAAGAAATACAGGAAATGACTGAGGTTCAAAGGCAAAACGACATTATTGTCCCCAATTAGCCATGAAATAACTTTAAAGGGAATCCATGAAAGAGAGTGTCAGAAACAGGATAATTGGTATTGGTTTAAGCTGATATTGATGTAGTGATTGTGGAATATCTGGCCAGAAATCCAGCATACACTCTGTCTGCTCTAATGAATGAGTTTGTATATCTTTTGCCTGAAAGATCTTTACAGTCAATCAGCTAACAATTGATCAAGGTGTGTCCATGAGATAAAGGAACAATTGATTGTAATTTTTTAGTCAGTCTGAGATATAATTTGTTGTGTATGCAAGAGGACCAAAAAAGAAAACTAAAATCTGGAAGAGAAAAGCAACAGTGTAGATTCCTTACTTACTCCCCACAAGAGAACTCATTCTCAGCAACGTCATTTTTATCTTGCTAATTGCACATACATTTTAAAAAACCATCAAATCTTTCAACAATACACGCAAGAAGTAACACACCTTAACACAAGAGGGAGTCAGTAAAGTCTTTGACTGATCATATCAATAATATCCCACCTTTAGATGTGAAACAAACAAAAGAAATGAAGCATGTAACTTTTGCACCAATAGCTTGTGGCTATGAAAAAGTGATTCACCATAGATGATAGCAAGCCAAGACAATCACTAACAATGACACAGTTTTTGCAAATTTTAATTCAGGAAATGATCAATGATTGACATTAGATGCAACTGTGTTACACTTTGCTTTGTTATCTCAAGTTATTGTTGCCACCATAAATGGTTAATTTTCTATAATGACTTGTTTACATTGTGTGTAATCTAGAAGCAAATTATTGTGACTAAGTTTTAGAACTAGGTGATTGGTTTAGAAACTACACATAGGTCCATTTTTTATTTCCCACTAAACCTAGTTCTTCACAGTGAAGAACTAGGGCTACGTCCATGTGCTACATGTACATGTACTTTATGTCTTTTCTCATAACAATTTGTTTTAGTTGGTTGAAGCCACTGTAATTTCAGTGTATCTACCACCAGCACCTGGTCCATCTTTACAGAACAGTCCAGTTCAACCTTACCAGCCATCTACTTTTGAGACTCTACCACTACCAACTACACTGTCACCAGCTTCACCAGCCTTTGTTTCAACTTCATTTTTATCACTGATTTCAGCCAAAAATTGAGCCACATAGAGTACCAGCATCATTTTCACTTCGAACAACTCCACAAACTCCCCCAACACTTCCTTCAGTGGGAGTCAGATGGCTCACTCTATTCCTGTTGCCAATAAGGCATAATATTCCATTTGCTCTCTTGGAGAGCATACCTGATTCTCAACTATACATGCAGAACTGGAATATTTAAATAATATTTCTGAGCAGCAAAAACAAGCACTGGAACATCTTGACACTCTGATTGGAGTCCTTAAAACCCATCCCAATCATTTCTACCCTGCTGTCTCTAGGGAAACAGTGTTGCCTATACACAAGAGCCGCATATACAAGTGCCATCAGTCATCCAGGAATATACCATAAATGATTCTACAATTTTCATGCTTCAATCAAAGTCTACTTCAGAGAAGAATTTTGCAGTGTACCTGGTACAAAATTTTTTCTTCCTTCCAAACTGGAAGGGTAGAATGTCACAGGAGTTGAGATCAAACTTCTACTTCACAAAGAAAAAAATGCTTAGCTTAGGGAAATTGTGTTGAGATAATTTCTGTTGATCTGGAAAGATTATAGCATGATTGTTGGGTTGTGACTGATTCCTACCTAAGGAATAGGAAAGGCATCAGAAGAGGTTTGCCCTGATGAATCGTACTGTTATTAGAGGCCACAAATGGCCCTGAATTTTTTTCAGGCCTTATTTCTACTACTAGTTCAGTAGTGTTCATAACTGCAAGGATCACTTCTATATTTAAACCTTGTTATAATTATACATTTCCCTGCTGGAACTGGGTTTTCAAGATTTTGTAGGATATAATTTCTATGTTAAATCATTTAGGTAGAATAAAAGAGTTATGTGTAAGCATTTGTCTTAAACTTAGGGACCTTAAGCATTGCCAATGAAATGCACGACAACAACAATCATTACCCAAGGAGGATTGGGTCGAGGGTTTCATTCTCAGCACAAAAAACAAAAGTTAAGCAGTGTGTTGTTTTGAGGCAACAAGTTTTGGTTCTCTGACTAGTTGCTCTTGTTATGGCTTTCAGAAACATCCAAAATCTGCTTCTAATTAATCACAACAATGGCTTTATTGATGATGATGATGAATTTGTTGCTCTGTACAACCTCTATGCGTAGAAAAACCTCAACTTTCCATACAATTTATACGTACCTTTTGACCTGAAGAGGTTGATGAGTCTAAGAGTTTTGCAGAGTTTTGCTGTGGAAAATGAGATATATGAATTCTGAAGGAGTTTTGCAAATCCCTGACACAACTACCTGCAGTCAGTGCTCTGTTTGTGATGGACTAGAAGGTCTCTGCATGCTGCTAAAGTGGCTTTCATACCCATGCAGATATGGAGACATGATCCATAAGTTTGCTTAACCTGTTCCAGTTCTCTCACTGCCCTAGCTGTAACCCTGAGCTCTCGACTCATCAGAGAATTCAAATAGGCAGCAATGCTTTCCCATACTTTCTCTCTCTCACTGCTTTTCGGTTTAAAATTGTAAGGTTTGCTCGTTAAAGCTTCACAAAGAATCAAGACATCATGGCCTTCTGTCCAAACAAAATACCTGGATTTACTTGCTGTCAAAAGAACATGAAAATAGATTTTCTAGTACCAAAACTGAAGATTTATACCTTGAAGAGCAACTTAAAATTAGCACGATGATATGCAGGTCTAAAATAAGAAGAACATGGTTTCAAATATCCCAAAATTCTCCTTAAAGAGATACTGAAAGTCTTATATTTCTTTTGAACTGGTCCTTGCTCATCTGTAGAAATGTGGCCGGCCATGGTTTCGGATGCTTCTGAAAGGAAAGTCATTTTAGTTTGTTAAAAATCGCTAGCTATTGAACATTTGACTTCAGCTGGTCCGCAAATAATACATCAAACAATCATTACATCAAAAGGGAGAAATGGATAATTATCAGCATGTAAAAGTTTAGTTGTTTACCTACGTTTTCACCAGGACGAAAACCTGCTCAGATTCAGTCGTCAACGAAGTCTGAACGACGTTTTGACAACATCGCACATGCGCAGAACGCTCGCGCGGGAAAATTTTACTCTCTCCCGTCGTCGTCGTGCCATTTCGTTGTCGATGCTTATGGTCCCTATTATTGTACCTTCAGATCTCTTCCATTGAGTTGAAGTTTCGTTGGCCCCAGTTTCAAACTTTGATAGTTGGAAGGTCGTCTGGGGAGTGTCTAGGAATTCTTCGCAACCAAATAACCAACTTGCCAATGTTAGGAAATGAAAGAAATAGCTTTACGCGACAACCGAAACATTTGCACAAGCTGATCAAGATCAGTAGACCAGAAGTGACCAACGAACAATCTCTCCATACTACATGTATATCAGTACATTTCAAGTAGAATTCGGAGCGTGATTGGATGAAAGAATAACGTTCACCTTCAACGCGAGAATTGATAAAGATCAAAACTTACCATCAACTGCACTCATCAGACCTTCCTCCAGTTCGAATTCGCAGGACACTCTCAGTTGGTTTTGTAATTGGCCAGAATAATTAGCCGTTCCATATGTATTTCATGAACAAATACACCCACAAAGACGCCTTCACTCACTGATGACGATGGAAAAATCCATGAACGCTATTCGGTAGCCGTAGAAGTTCACCCGCACTTGTGAATTGTGAGGGACAACGGCAAAATGTGCAAATCCCGCGCAAGTAACGCGCGCATAGAGGTCATGATGTGACAAGTATGTTATGTAATGGTCACCAAGAATGACGAGCCAGTAATTAGCCGTTTACAGTAGTAGACAAAAGTCGTGAGCGAACAAACTCTGAAGGTAACAATTCGTTTCTACTTTCAAGAGGACGAATGTCTTAGTGAATATAAATAATGAATATCTACATTTCTTTTAATTTTGAACACCGTAGACCACACAAAAATATACTCCGAAGACGTTAAAAAATTCCTTCGCCGTGTTGAAGTAAAAGCCTTTTTCCATAACAAAGAGGATGATGTTAACAAACCTAACAAAGATACGTCCGAAACACTTCAGATTCGAAAGCCTTCGTGGACTTCCCTGGAGGGCCAGTTCGCATATTTTTTCACTTTTTATCGTCAGAACATGTTCAAACTTAAATTCAATTGTAACACCAAATTTTGGAACCTTTCTCCGGAAGAGTGGTCGGCACTAAAAATTCTAAAAGAAACACAAAAACAGTATTATAGTCCAGCTGTTATCGACCAAAAAAACACTGAATTGTTCAAATTGATGATAAAAGCATGAAACTTTGCCACAACACTCATGACCCTAAGACTTACATTTTCTGATTTAGGGCCAATCCAAATAATTAACTTCTGAAAATTCGCTAACATGGAAGCGAGGTTGAGAATGAAAAAATCCTCTTAAAAATCCTCTTAAACGACATTTCTTAGAAACATTTGCGACAAAAGCCTTCAAACATAACCACCGAGTCATTTTCTATTCATTCGTATTCATCTTATGCCATTACGGTACTATCCTCTTTAATATTTATCATAATGGTTGGGTTCCCTGTAATTAAACATTAAATATACCTGAAGATTTTTAGATATATGAAAATTCACATATTTGCACTGCGGTAGGGAGATGAAATTAAGGGAGCCTCGCAGCTAAGAACACTACTGAAACGAGTAGTTGTAAATAGGACCTGAAAACATTCAGGCCCGTACGGGATTTGAACCCATGACCTCTGCGATACCGGTGCAGCGCTCTACCAATTGAGCTAACAAGCCAATTGGGAGCTGGTCAATGAATTGAGTCCAAATAAACATCCAAGTGAATGAAGATTTTTAGATATATGAAAATTCACATATTTGCACTGCGGTAGGGAGATGAAAGTAAGGGATCCTCGCAGCTAAGAACACTACTGAAACGAGTAGTTGTAAATAGGACCTGAAAAAATTCAGGCCCGTACGGAATTTGAACCCATGACCTCTGCGATACCGGTGCAGCGCTCTACCAATTGAGCTAACAAGCCAACTGGGAGCTGGTCAATGGTCTACTCGTATCTTCATTCACTTGGATGTTTATTTGGACCCAATTCATTGACCAGCTCCCAAAATGGCATAAGATGAATACAAATGTATAGTAAATGACTCGGTGGTTATGTTTGAAGGCTTTTGTCGCAAATTTTTCTGAGCAATGTCGTTTAAGAGGAATTTTCATTCTCAGCCTCGCTTCCATGTTAGCGAATTTTTGACATGCGTGGTTCTAGTCTTCAGACGTTAATTTCGTATTGGCTCTATGCCACAGAATGTTAGTCTTAGGGTTATAAGAGTTTTGGCAAAGTTGCATACTTTTATCATCAATTTGAACAATTTTAGCCGATAACCACAAGACTATTATCAAAGAGGCCGAGAAAGGCCGCCCTGTAGTTGGTTGGCGGGCCGACCTCTACCAAAAAGCAGCTTTGCAGCAACTTTCTGACGCCCACTTTTTATGAAAAATATTGACAAAGATCTCACTTTCATCAACCAAAACATTGTCAAAAATACGATTAACAATCTTCTAGCTAAACAAGAATTGCCTGCAAAAAGTCTCACCATCACCACTCTTACAAATTTGTGTATCTTATTTTATCTATAATCCACAAACCTTACAACCTAAGTCAACCCATTGTCTCTGCAGTTGTTCCACCGAACTTTTTTCCAGCTATTTAGACCACAGGTGGCCCAAGCTCACGTCTCGAGAAAAAGCCAACGATTAACTCATGAAAGCGACACGCGTTGTGTGACTCGGTGTTAAGTTACGAGAGGAGCCGTTGAACACGTTATAAGGAATAGTATTGGGAACGGAATATGTTACAACGATAAATGTGACAATACCAACAGCGTGACACAGCTCACGATACCCCGGCACAACTGTCGACTTTTACAGCAACTATTGGGAGATCGACAGACTAGAGAACACCAAAGCCACAACTACCATAAGGAAGCTAAAGGCACACTTTGCGAGATTCGGAATACAGACGACACTCGACTCTGACAGTGGGACAAACTGCAGTGCTGACCAATTTCGAAAATTCACTCACTACTTCCTTCTGTGCCTAAAATTGAACACACTCTCAGCTCACCACATCATGGTCAGTCAAATGGAAAAGTGGAGGCTGCCGTAAAAACAGCAAAGAGCATCTTGCGCAAAACAGAGAAGACTCAAGAAGATTAATACCTTGTATTCCTTGCGGTGAGGAACACTCCCTCTCAAGGAATTGGCAGGAGTCCGGTGCAACGTCTCCCAATCGCAGGACACGAACCAAGCTACCCACGACAGACACCCTACTGCAACCTAAAGTCGTGGAAAGGGAGGGTGAACAGGTCAAGATGAAGAAGTAGCAACAGAGGAAGGCACTATATTATGACAAAAATGCCAGGGAGCTATTACCGCTACGCAATGGTGAAACAGTAAGAATGAAGCCATTCACACGTGGAGACAAGTCCTGGAAGAAAGCGACGGTGAAGGTACGCCTTGATGACAGATCATATATAGTGGAAAACCAAGATGGAACGTCGCTGCGCAGAAATCGAGTTCTCCTGAGGAAGACAATCGAGCCACTAACAGCTCAAGTAAAGGACAAATGAGAGACTCAACAACAGCCCAGACGGGAGGAAGAAGCGGTCAGGAGAGCAACATACCTCAGGGACTATGTTCCATAGACAGAAAACAAACGCTGAATTTATTTACTTTACATTGGGTTTTTGTTAATTATAGCTATTGAGTTTTCGTTGCTCTCCATAAATATGTATCAAAAAAACAAAAACCAAAAAAAGAGAAAGGAAGGTGAAAATACCAACAGCGTGACACAGCTCACGATACCCCGGATGTAATTATTATATTCAGTTCACCTTGCTTTGATTGTGCCGTAAACACTAAAACATGGAACGACCTAAAACCACTTAAAACCAACTACAACCATCTATAACCGCCTCAAAAATTTCAACAACCACCAACAACCACCTCAAAAACATCTACAGCCACTCGCAAACTATCTAAAACCATCTAAAACAAGGCATAAATGTCAGTAGTAAAAGACTTAAAGAACTTTACAAAATGAACTATCAAGATACAAAAAGTAATGAAGTAAAATAACAAACTCGTAATCAAAAGACTGACTTAACTTGGTGTTTTTCTACCCTGGGTACCAGCAGACGTTTTGGCTCACGTCTAGAAAAGTATGAATAAAAATGGCATTAAAAATATTTTAAGCGAACTGTGCGTACCTTCGGGATCTTCCTTCGGCACGAACGCCATTGTGCGGGACAATAGTGACGCAGTAGTGACTCACGTTTTGCTACAATTACATTTCCGGTGCTGAGATTATAAATGGAGAAATACACTACCTTTGACCATTATGTGGTCAAATGAAACGTGAGCCGTCTGCTTGTAAAGTTCTTTAAGTCTCTTACTACTGAGGTATTATAAAGTATAATTAGCATGCTCTCGCATTTCATTTCATGAGATGGTTGATTATACATGGGACCAGGGAGAGTGAGATTTCAGGGGGAGGTAGAGGTTTCGTTCGATTGTCGTATTTCATGTATGTGACATGTTGTCGTCTCGCCTCATTTTAGACATTTATGCCTTGTTTTAGATGGTTTTAGATAGTTTGCGAGTGGCTGTAGATGTTTTTGAGGTGGTTGTAGGTGGTTGTTGAAATTTTTGAGGTAGTTGTAGGTGGTTTAACTTTTAGGTCGTTCCATGTTTTAGTACTTCCGTCGATTAAAACTCCACATTGAAGCCACCCAACTGTTTCCATCTTGTTACA